GAGGAGCAACATGTGTTGCTGCTATTGTATCAGGGATTGGGTTGGTAGGTGGTGGGGGGGGAGGAAGATGAAGGTGGATCATGGAGGTTTATAGGCGAAATTTGTTTTGGAGATTAAAAACTGCGGGTCGGGTCGTTCCAACGGGTGAATTTTACAGATCAGATGGATCCGAAATCAACGGAACCCACTTGTTGTCTGACGTGGCGGCTCCGTGTATGCATATTAGCTTCACTTTCCACTCCACATGTTTTGGAGAAAATTATTTTATTTTATTTTCCAAATTTTAAAAATAGAAAAAAATTATGAGATTTATTTAAAATTTAATTTTAAATTCTAATGGTTAAATTTTTACTTGGAAAAACAAAAATTAGTTTTCTAGGTAAATTTGGATAAAGTACCTCAAAAAATTCTCCATACATATATCTATATATATATATATATATATATAACCGCCGTTTGGATATTTCTTGAGCTAATTTAATTAATGCAAAGTGGATAATCACAAATTAATTAAGGGATTATTATAATAATCTTGGAATATAATTTTATAATTATCTCAATTATATGTAAAATCGCAAGTTGGTCCAAAGTCGGTAAAACTGACACCAACTTCCGTCTTGCTTTTTCAACAAGTTGAAATTTATCACCTTTTACTTCCAATTAAATATTAATCCATTATATATATATATTATATAAATATAAATATAAATTATAGGGTTTAAATAGGTAAAGTATTATTTTTTAAATAATTTTTTATAATTATAAATTTGTCTTAAATACAATTTATGTATTTGCTTGTGATGTGGGTATGTGAATTTTCTTTTTTTTTTTTCTTTCTTAAATACGTACGTTATTTAATTTTGTTTAAATTGATTTACGTATCAGTATTTATTAAAATAAATAATATTATATTAACACTTCATTATTAATTTTTGTCAACAAAGAGAAAAAATTATGTCAAATATATAAATAGCGTTGACCGAAATTGAGTGCTTGTGAACTTATCTTAAAAAAATTTCAAACTTTATATTATATTTGAATATAATATAAAAAGCTTATTATATACTTCTTCCCATGGTAAACCAACTTTCTTAAAAGTAATCCACAGGATAAGGACCTCGCACATTGTTTCATGAAAACGTTTCTAATTATATATGTTTTTTTTTTATCGGGATTACAATAAAAATTAAAATAAATTATACAAAATTCTTAATGTATATATTTTTTTAAAATAATAATTTTATCAAAAAAATAATTTAAAATTATAAAAATCATAAATTATTAGTTACCAATGAAAATTATAAATAAATAGTTATAATTTATATATATATTTTTCTTATAATATGGTGGAGTCGGCATAATCAAGTGGGATTTATTCATATTTATAAAATGGAATTTGACATTTTTTACCCAAAAGAATTTATAAAATACATATAAAAAAAGTTATATACGTACACATATACACGCATATAATAAAGTCCAATTCCCAACACCATTAATTCTTAGTAGTTAAAAAAAAAAAAAAATTCAACCACTTGGGCATTACAAAATTTATAAATAATTTC